TATTAAAATTGATTTATTTTTTTATTATATAAAATTATTTTTTAAAAAATTTTAAAACCTTTAAAAACTTTATATTTAATATAAAATTTAGTAAAATTCAACTAAATTTTTGGTTAAGTTAATTATTAAATAATTTTTTATACTTAATAAAAAAATAATAAAAATTATATTATTATTATTATGACTTTTATTTAAAAAATCTATGCATTGAAATACTTTTAATAATTTTTATTATTTCTATTTTGTAATATAACTAAAATCAATTATTTTTAAAAAAATTTTAAGAAAATTTTAATAATATATTTTAAAAACCTTATTAAGTAAACTTGTTTTTTATATTCTTAAATACATTAACATAGATTTTTATCTTATTTTATTAATAAGTTATTAAAATATTATAACAATAAAAAATTGATGTGTAGTACAATTATTTTTGTCTCATACTGTATAATGTATGCAATATATTATATTTGTTATTAAAAGCTTTTTTTAAATATAAATAATTATATATTGTTTTGATATTTTATCAAAAAATTAAAAAATTAATTTTAATAAATCACTTTACAAATATATAATCTTAAATTTACATTTTAAGAATTGCAAAAATTGTTCTGATCATGTTACCAGTAGTGTTTTATTTTATCATGACTAGATATCAATAAAATTGTCTATAATAAACTAGAAACCACAACTTGTAATTCCGATAGGACCTAAAGATAGGTGGGAAGACAACACGTTAAATTTGTGCTGCAAAAAATGAGATTTTAAATTTCATGAATTGTATTAGGTGTTGACAAACCGAATATCCATGTTAATTGAGAAGCAATCATTAGCTCTTCTCCTTTTTATTCTTTTTCTTCTCAGATTTAGGCGATTCTTCAGTATCCATGGAGTCTACCGTCTCCTTTTTTTTCTTTTTTCATCGATTTAGGCGTACCTTCTTCATGGACTTTTTTATCCTTCTTTTTCTTATCAGATTTAGGTGTCCCTGATGGCGTATCTTCTTTTTCCTTCTTGTTTTTTTTCTCTTTCTTCTCAGATTTTGGTGTGGACGATGGGGTAGTTTCCTCGTTCTTGTCCTTCTTATCAGACTTTGGTGTAGACGATGGAGTCATTTCCTCTTTCTTGTCCTTCTTTTTTTTATCAGATTTTGGTGTAGACAATGGAGTGGTGTCCTTGTTCTTATCTTTCTTTTTTTTATCAGATTGTGGTGTTACCATTGAAGCATCATTTCCTTTCTTTTCCTTTGTAGGCGTTTCTTCTGAAGCGAACGCTACTTTCTTTGGCGGTGGCGTTTCTTCACGTATATTCCTCCCATTACTCACTTTCTCCTCAATATCAGTCGTTTGGGAGACCTCTTCATCTTTATTCTTTTTGTCTTTCTTTTTTTTAACATTTGACTCATTAACTTCCTTGTTCTTTTTTTTACTAGGTTTAATAGCATCTGTGTCCATTTCATCAACATTATCCTTTTTATCAGGTTCGGTTGTTTCTCCGTCTACTGCATTGAGTAGGGCTTTCGTTTTTTTGTGCTTTTTGGAAGCTTCAACTTGAGTTCCCGGGGATGCCTTACGTTTTTTCGACGATTTCTCTGACGATCAATAAGTCAATATTAAAAAAGGTCACAGTTAAATACACAAAAAAAATAATTTACTTGGCCATATTTCGCTCAAAAAATATTATCATACCTTGGTCTACTTCCATTGGTTGATCTTCCTCATTTTCAATTTCATTTAATACTTTCTTAATTACATCTTCATTCTTGGAAGTAGATGCACCCGTTTCATAAAATTGTAATCTTTCTTCAACTTGAGTTTTAAACGCTTCTCCAAATTTCGAAGTAGGTTTTTCTAAATGTGATAATTTGTTACATGACATTCACATCCATGCACGATACATTATCTACATTTTTATTTCTCTTTGTACCTGTGAAACAATCTATTCGAGAGGCAATGGTACATTTGTTAGCCAAGAATCGCGAAATTCTTCCTTTGTTTTTGGTGCCAGCACGACCAATAAATGAGGAATGATATATGAGGCCGTATTTAGGAGTATTGCTTTTGGTCTTGAGGGCTCTAAAGAATTATTCCATTGTATTAAGATAAACAAAAATTATATCAAAAAGCACTATTATCAGAATATTATATTATGTTCCTTACCTAAACAAAGCCTTTTCGGCACCCAGAATTTGAACGGTGGAGGCCGGACATTTCGAAAGGTTAGTTAAGCTTCCGGCGTGTGAGATCAACCTAGCGCCAACGATCTCACCAATCAATGCTGACAAATTTGGAGCTACGTTGCTCATCTTTGACAACAGGTATTCATGCAACTGTTTACGATAATTAGCAAGGTTGATTACACGGTCAGCAAAGTGCTCGATATTGATCATGTCCAAAGCAGAAATGTCGGTTCCCATTGATGAGCGTGCTGCATCAATAATCTGTTTCGCCTTGGATTCATCACCGGTGATTTCGATAAGGTCATCCAATCGATCTTCAGTTAATTTGCTTTTATTTTGGATGAATTTAGCGAGAACAGAGTACTGATGATTATCGTTGATAATTTTCACGAGTTCCGGAAAATGCCACGAGTACCATTCTCTGCGAATAAATAAGCGGTGTCAAATTACAGAGTAAATCTTAAAATTGACACGTGTAAAGTAAACCTACGCTTACCTAACTCGCATAGCGAACGTGTTTATATCTTTGTCTAACTGATCTAACAAGGTTATCGCTTGTATGATCATATTATCGGCACGATTAACATTAAATTTGACTTTCGCCCTGGAGTAACTATGACCCAACCCAAGTTGTGACCTGATGATCTCGCCCTCTTTGACTTGGTTTAACAACTTATCGGCATGCAAGCGAATACCCCGAACAAGCTCAAGCACAATTTCACTAGTCTCACAATCATGTCCTAATTCAGATTTAATAGCGCCTGCCAAATTTTTATCTATAACACCAAGAACTACTTTGCTTTTCTTTCCAGGCTTTGGAAGATTCAAATCCAAAAATGACTTAAGATGTTCATTCACGACTCCTGATAGAATTAAAAGAACAATCTTTTGCATTATCACACTACGCGAGTATGCAATACGTGACTGCTCGTATTGAACAAACCTTCAGATATGTCATTTGCGTTTTCCAAGGCATGAACGGAGCCCTTAAAGGGAACAAATGACTTGAGTTTCACTATTTTCCCAAATTTTGCCAGATCTTGGACTGCTTTTTGGACTTGCTCAAGTTTAGAGCCAATTTCCTCTGCTTGTAAGCATTCAAACAGCGAGTATCCACAGGCTATCTCGAAGAGGACATAATTCACCTGCAGGAAATGGATTGAATTTAATTTTGCGGGTTCAGAAGGATAAAATAAATATCATCGGAAAATTTTGTAACCATTATCAAAGTAATAAGATCTCGATAATTTTCGAAAACTTGTGGGAACGAAAGCGATAAGAGAAAAATTTTTTAAGATTGTGTTACACGAATTTGTTTTATCAGATGGTTTAACTGATTATTTCATAATATCCGCAGCGAATATACAATTTCGGTTTGTTCGAGTAGATATAGTATATTTGCATTCTTTAAAAAATTTTATGTTGAAGCATCAACTTTTTTATTCAAACCTTCACCAAACAAATAAATTAGCGGGGTATACTCTCTTTCTCATTTCAGGCTATATAAATTTACGCAGAATAAAGGGAAGTTATTCAATGTCTCTTAACGTCAAGGAAGAAACGGATATTGATCGCGAGATCTCAACAATTGCCAAGACTAAGGTCTCTAATGAATCGGAAATTGATCCTGTTGTCCTGCCGACCGCCAAAAGGTTAAAGATTTCCCCGGAAATAAGTGAGGCAACAGAGGTTAATCTATCGGAAATTTCTTCAACCGCGTCAAACTCGCTTGCACCATCTGGTGGTAGTGACGTAACAAGTACCATAAACGATTTAGATTGTGAAGAGCGAGGAATAAGATACAGGTTGCGAATCGAAAATATATCAAAATACGTGAATGCCAAGACGATCAAAAAATTTCTGGCAAAAAATGACTGCGGAAAGCTACAAGTCAAAAAATCTTCAAACTGGGATTATTGCTACGTTCATCTTAATGTAAATACTGAATTTCAAATGAACGGTTGACTTCCAGATGATTTGTTATGTTTTAAAGTTTCTCTTGATTTGTTCGTAGTCCAGGGAACAGCAATTGGATGTGATTGGAAAATTGAAAGATGCGAAATTAAAGAATAAATTAATTATCGTGAAGGCTGATAATACAACGGAACAAGTAAGCGGCGAGATATTACTTTATCAAAGGTATCGAGGACAACATAGTTAAAGATCAATCCATAATTGAGTGTAGGAGCGTCAAGATTTAGTTGACGCTAGGAGAAAGAAATTGTTTCCGGACCCAAAGGAAGATCAACGTTCACCAGAGGAAATGCTTGCAGACCAAATAACTCCTTTGTACCGGTAAGGTTCTTTATTGTACCTTACGTTCGAAATCTATAATCCGTCTATCTAACCAGCTCTGTGTCATTTATATTATACTCGAAGTCTTACCTATTCAGAACAACTAAAGGCCAAGGGGGATGGTATCATAAACGCTCTTTCCCGTTTCCTTGTGAAGACCAAGGAATTATATACGGACCGTTCCCAACCGAAAAGGGTAACCGAAGAGTAAATGCTATTTCATGTTATGTTATTATCTTTTAAAATTTTCCTTTTAGTGATTTGACCTATACAATAATGCAGGCTCGAATCTAATCTTCCGTTCGAGGTTCATACAATTATTTCTTCACCCATTCTCGAAGGTTATCGGAACAAATGCGAATTCACGATTGGAAAAAATCATGAGGGAGAGAAGACCGTAGGGTACTTACTGGGTGCTTTCAAAAATGGATTCAATGTCGTCATGGTGATTATATATTTTCGATAAAATAATCCTATTAAGATAGAAGATTTAACTTGATTATGGGACTGATGGCAGGGGCCGGAGAAATCTTTGAATACCGGTGAAGTATCGAAGAAGATTGCTGTGGCAATGCAGGTGCGACAAACTTTCTCCAGATATGATTATTTATTCATATCAGTTTTTGAACCAACATTACTATCTAATTAGGAATATGTTCGAGGGTCTGATCTTGATGTATACGACCGTGCGACGAAGCAAGGTACAAAATCTGTGGTTATGAATTTTCAATTTTAATTTTGAATCAAAAAAAAATTTCCGAACCAAATTTTAGGCAACTGGCGTTTGGTCTGTGTTAGATCTCAAACTTGTGGTGACGGTAAAGTTAATACCTTTTTTTTTAAGTATTTATATATTAAAGTTATATTTTATCATACATTTCTCGTTTCACAATCCTATCACGTAGTAATGGTCATTGTTCAGTTTCATCCGCAAGGATTAACTGAAGAACGAATCAAGCAAGAGAAAGTTTCCCTGACAGAATATTTTGTGAATTATACACGGGAGGCACAGATTGACTTAAAATCGCTCTTGGTACAATCTTATGATGGGGTCAGTAATGGTTTGTTCGACAAACATCCATTAGAATGTATATTTGGTGTACCCTATATTCATGAGGAAATGATGGGTTGTAGGTTTGTTTATTGCTATTTCTTGCGATGTATGAGATCATTTTTTAGGTTGCACAATAAATTTATAAATATCTATTTGTGGTTAAAGATTTCGAATATCTCCACATGCCTTCTTCCAAACAAACACTCTAGCAGCGCAAGTACTCTATGAAAAATGTGGAGAATATATAAAAGATCTGTGTCATCATGATAAACCACCTCCAATCTTGATAGATATGTGTTGTGGAACCGGAACTATTGGAATTGCATTGTCAAAGGTCTTAGGAAATAAGATTAAAGAAATCATAGGAATTGAGATTTGTGAAGAGGCGGTGGAGGATGCAAAGTACAATGCTACGTTGAATGGTACGTCCACAAGATTACTTTTCGTCACTAACACGATCAATTGCTCATTGACTAAAAATAGATTTAATCATTAGAGATAAGTAATACTCAATACATTCTTGGACCAGTAGAAAAGAATTTGTATTTTTTAAGTAACTACAATAACCGTGAAGCGGGAACAGTCATTGCAATATTGGATCCACCTCGGTACAAATCTTTACACTAATTTAATTTTACACGAATGTCACATAAAAAGAAAAGCTTCTAACCGTTACGATTATACTAGGGCTGGTGTTCATAAGAATGTCATCAAAGCTCTCAGACAATGCCAAGCAATAGATTATTTATTATATGTTTCTTGTGATTGTAATTTGGCAACACAAAATTTCATAGAGTAAGTCAAATCATTCTCTTTGAGACTTTATGGCTATGCATTGATTGTTATAAATTGAAACCATGTTTCTTCTTTTTCCCATCTTCAAAGCCTTTGTAAGCCATTATCTAGATCACATCCGGGAACTCCATTTAAACCCGTCAGAGCAGTCGGAATAGATTTATTTCCGCACGCTAAGCAAGTAGAATTATTGATCGAGTTTCATAGAGACACAGATCAGAATTAAGTATTATTAGGAAACGATTTATTCCTGTAACGTATTGATATCATTTATCACATTGAATTTTTGGTATTCTAAATTGTACAACTAGCGAAACTTCCGGAGAGACCGATTGAATAAAGTTTTATTAGCAACCTTTTGAATTTTATTAATCTACTTTTAAAAATAGGCGTCATCAATATAACATTTTTATTATTGAAATTGTTTGTTCATTGGGAGCAATCCCTTCTTTAATCATTTGTTGATAAACTTCTTTGAATTTTTCCCTCTTACCTGCCTTTACCCAAGCACGGATTAAACTGTTGTAATTTTTAATGGTGGGTTTGATGTTCCTATTTTTCATTTCTAAAAATATTTTCTCTGCATTTTCTGGTTGGTTCAATCTTGCATATCCTTCAATCAAGATCCCATAGCTGACATTATTAGGTGATATGTTTCTCTGCAGCATTTCTTCAAATACTTTTAGCGACAAACTCATATTTCCATGTTGTAAAGCAAACGATCTCATGAATATTGTGAAAGAATAAGGATTCAGTTTTGGTTTTCGGCCTAAATATACCAAATTGTCTGTTTGCCTAAGAAAGTTTTTAAATATTTCGTGAGCATAAGTTACATCGTGAGCCTTATCTAATCTATCTGACCACAATAAAGTATCCAAAATATGACGAGGGGTTTTTGGCATTAGTGAAATCTCGTCTTGGGCAGAAGGAATCCCAATGATCTCTTTCATTAGCGCTCTTAAAGTTGCTCTATGAGGTTTGATTCCTTCCTTAATCATCTCCTCGTAAACTTCCTTAACCTTATCTTCTCGACGAACCCATACCCAAGCTTTAATTAAACTAGTATAACTATATGCATTAGGTTTGATTAGCAAAGTTGATTTCAATGTTCGAAATGTCTCTTCCGCCTTTTCTATTTGTCCCAACATTGCATACCCATCGATGAGTATCGTGAAAGTGGCAACATCCGAGCGAATCCCTCTGCTTGTCATATCTTTGCAAACCTCTTCAGCCCGTTTCAAATCCCCAAAGCCTTGTGCAAACTTTGAAATAAAAATGTTAAAAACATTGGAATCCGGAAGCAGTCGGTCTTTCCCTTTGCTAGATTTATCAATGACCTGAAGAAATTCCTTATATATCTCGTTTACTGATTCGATATCATGTGCACTGGCGAGTTTATTCTTCCACATAATTGTCAAAGAATTGATGGACGGTTTCAATCTTTGTCCAAATATTAATTCTTCCTCTTGATTTCCTGTTCGTGATTCTTCCTCTTGATTTCCTGTTCTTGATTCTTCCACCTGATTTCCTGTTCGTGATAATGTTATATTGTGAAAGAATTTATTAAAAAGTTGCTCGGTACCTTGATAATCTTGTGCCTCGTAATGTAATTGCAACAAACTACTTCCGACATGTTCGTTGGGTTCGATTCCTTGTTCTCTCATATGATAATACATTCTCCAGGCACTTTTTTGATCACCCGAATTAATGTACCCATTAATCATTATGTTGTAGGTATATATATCGGGTTTGAACCCAGATTTGATGATCTCTTGGAAAAAACTATTCGCGGTCTTCATATCCAATTTAAGCGTCGAATTGTGTATTATTATGTTATACAATGATATGTCAGGCTGAAGTTTTAAATTCTTCATTATTTTAAATGTTTCTTCGGCCTTTCCAATCTCCTCATTTCGCATATAAAGGTCAACCATTGTATTCAACATTTTATACGCCGGTCTCATTTTTATTGTTTTCAACATCATGTTATACATCTTACTCACGTTTAGTAAATCGTTTTGCTTAGAAAATCCTTGGATTAGTACCAAATATGTTATGTCGTTGGGTTCTATTCCCAACGCCTTCATTTTTTCATAATACTCTAATGCCATCGACATATCTCCCTGAAGCACGCAAGTTTGTATAATTATAGTGTACGTTCGGGTGTCTGGCTGAATTCCGTGTTTATGAATATTATGGAAGAGTTGTGAAATTTCTTGGTAATTTCTGGATTTTTTCAGGTAGGCCAACACTTTATTAATAAAAAATATATCGGGTTTGATTTCATCCTCACACATATCTTCCAATACCATCATTGACTCGCTAATCCATAAATTCTTGAGAAATTTCAAGATCAAATGTTTTTTATCTTCAAAGGATACTTCGACCAAATGTTCTCTGAATTGTTTATAAAGTTGAAAAGCTTTGTCTAGTTGAGACAATTCCAAAGTAGAATATTTTATCAATTGATGGACGATCCGTTGATTATTTTGTAAAAGGTTGAATGCTCGCGTTTTTGTCACAGGGTTATTCAAGAATTTCCCCAACGTTTCCATGTTCTGTTTCTCCTGTTCGGTGAGTTCTTTGTCATCATTCGTGCTGATGTGTGCTGTTTCTGAATCATCGACTCGACTTCTATGAAAAGTTTTCTTGATCTGTTGTTGGAAAGATGTGGTCGAAGCATATTTAATGCGCTTCGGTTTCCTTATACGTAGCTTAGTTCGTTCAAACAAAAATTCACTATTAATGCTAGGGTGATATGATTGAAAAAGTTTATTACGCGTTCTGAGGCAACAAAAAATTGAACGAAATCCAAAAGTTTTTTGTCGATTACTATGATGATTATGTGTTGAAGTGGACGTTGGAAATGCTAAAAAAGGTGATAATGATAATTCTAAAGGCATTCGAAAAATTCTCGTACCTCCGAATTTATTCATCAATGTTGAAATCGAAAAAAAAAAGGATCGTCGATCATTTTATAGAACCTCTTCGGGCGATTCCAGTGATTCTATTGGTGAATGTTGAATTATCAAGCGTGCACGTGGTAAATTTTATAAATTAGCTAACCGATCGGATCATCCTTGATTTGAGATTCAAAATGTCAAACGATCATGATAGTACGTAATGATTTGTTCGTTATTGGTCAAAGTAAATCTAGAATTCATTCTTATACCAAGAATCAATTATAGGCAAGATTGGTGTTTCAGAATTGAAAGCATTGTTGAATCAATTGAATTCTTCAAGCGGTATGTCACACACTTACTCTGGCAAGAGATTTTCTCGAGAATTTTCATCGAATCCTGATATTTGAATCTTACCTTCATGTAACCTTCAAGGCATCGAGGATCAAGTAATCGAAAATTTAGAACATTTGGTATCCGGTCTCCGGGCTTGCAAAAATGTGATCATCGATCAAGGGTCAACGACAAAAAGTAAATCGGATGCGTGGTCGAACGTGGCAAGTGTTGTGGAAATATTCGCCAACTCGTCAAAGAAAGGTATAGTATATAAATCAAAATCTGATATTGATTTATTTCTTTCCGTTCGATATTAACGTTTTTGGCGTACAGAAAAACCACGAGATCCACTTGGAAATTACGGAGTCATCGAATTAATAATAGAGTTCATGAAACTTAATGACGTTCAATCTCAGCCATCGGTCGATTTTCAATGTCTTAGAGCACTTGCGAACATTTGCATTTCAAGTGGTGGGTCATCATATATGGAATTGGGATTTTGTTTCGTGATGCTTATAATTATAATTATTACATTTCATCAGACACAAACCGACAGAGAATTCTAGATTCTGGTGGTGTTGAAACGCTCCTGACGTGCATAAGAAAACAAAGTAACTTGGACACAATAAAAGGAGCATGTGCTACATTGCTAAATGTTGGAATGAATTATGGTAGATTACTCGAAATTTGTGATGATTTATAATAGTGGATGACTATTGACACATTTTCGATTAACAGATAATGCCAATGTTGAAATTGTGAAATCGGATGGTCTAATTGTGATTACTCGCTTGCTAGAACCAAATACCATCTTGGGACACTATGAAACGCATTTGGCTCGACCAGTGGTATATTTTGCTACACGTTTAGTTATAAATTTGGTCGGAACAGGTTCGACGATTTTCGACTTCTTTCTTTTGACACAGGTTTCCATTGATATTTGCGAAATGTAGAATTTTTTAAATTTATAGATGAGGGAAAACAAAAAATCGCTGATAAAGAGATAATAGCATCCTTAGTACATCTTCTTTCATATTCATCGTCAAAGTCTGCAACTGATGATGATGTGGACCTATTAGAGAATGTTTTGGAAATTTTGGAGATTGCATCACTCGATAATGGTATTATAGATTAATTTTCTATATGCCCATGATTTGCTTTTATCTTATTTTGTCATCCTATTGGCCTTTAAGATGAAGTTCAGCAAATTTTGGTTCAAGATGGATTCTTTCCTGGATTGTTGGATTTCCTGGAATTTTCTAGAGAGCCTCCAGACTGTGAGAAAAATATAGTCAAACGTTATGGTGAATGCAAGGCAGTAGCTTTGAAAATAATTGTGGTCGCAACTGGCAGTGGTAATTATCATTATGTACACCTCTTAATTTTGTTACTTCAAATAGATAATAATAATTTCTCCCCCCTTTCACTAGATAGAAATATGGAACCATTGTTCGATGATACTGTAATATTCCATCGTCTGCTTCACTGGCTAAATTTAGGTCCAGAAAGGGATGATCTTCAGATGTGTGCTGCCTTGTCGCTGGGAAATCTTGCTAGAAGTGGCATGTGTTTATTGTTTTCGCAAAAGTTTTTATATTGTTTGGTGCGTACAAGAAAAAAAATTATTTACAGCCAGTCTGTTAATTCAAATAGATGCACATTGCATAAAGTTAGTGCACGAATTTAAAATAGTAGAACCTCTTGTAAATGTCTTGCGCACTTCAAATAATGTCAAAGTACAACACGCAGTCGTCGGAATATTAAAGAATTTGTCACTTCCAGGTATAATCATAAAACAAGATTTAATTAATCTGTGAATTAACTGAATTTTCTTAAATACGCTTAAACACCTTTAGCCCAAAACAAAACCATCATCGGATCTCTTGGTGTCATTGGACTTGTATCGCCGTTTTTGGAAAAAGATGACGTTCAATCTATACAATTGGGAGCTGTCGGAATACTTAAACATTTGGCTACCCAAAATGGTTAGTACTTTATATACTAGTGAATTTTACTATAAATCTTTACTGAATTTTGTATATTTTCTTTAGTTGTGAATTGTAAAAAGATCCTTTTAGGTGAGAACCCAGATGGTCCTGAAAGACCACTTACCCGTATATTGAATCTTATTAAACGTACCGACAATGTTGCTGTTAAAAGCGAAGGAACACGTATCATATTTCACCTCATTAAAAACGTCTGGGCCGGAGATCCACACTTAGACTTAGGTGAACTTTTGAGAAATGTTTAAAGTTTTACATAGTGGTATCTTAGTTGAAGATTAAAACCTTATTTCTCTTTATTAGAAGGAACGCACTTGAACACCTTACGTTTGGAATTAAATAGGAAAGAGGTTGTTCGACCTCTTGCAAACATGATTACGGAATCAAAATATCCAATACTTCAAAACGAGGGTGTAATGGCTTTAGCCTTACTGGTAATGGATGATTCTGCAGGTGGTGAAGGTAATTCGGTTCAATTTTATTCGTATACCCAATTGATAAGGAAATTTCCTAAAATCTTTGTTGACTCTTTGTTTCTGACAAATTATAGATGCCAATCCAACATTAAATATTCTTACATCAAGCGAACAACAAATAGAGGAAATCGCGGATGAAGAAGTTGCTGACAAGACGGAATCAGAAATAGCAGAAACCTCGAGCCCGGATGCTGTGAAACCATTAACTACACTTGAAGCGCTGCTTGGAATATTACAGAGCAAGCAACAGGAAGAAATCAAAATTAATGTTTGTTCATTCCTCGAAAAGTCGGCGAATTCGGCAAATGGTACTCGTGAGTATTGAAGTTCAGAACTCATACACTGCATCATATCCTTCTTGTTTGACTGATGATATCATTTAATCTTTGGAAATTCAACTCGAATTAGAAAAACAGTATCTTCGGGAGAAAGTGCTCCTCAGTTTGAAATCACTAATATCGGAAGCAGAAAAAGGGTCGACACATCCCGGTGAAATTAGCATTAATCTGAAAGGCAAAATAGAGGATGTTATTAAATGTCTTGGTTGATTTTTTAGAATTAATTTATTTTAGATACCTTTTATATCCTAAAACCACGAATTTCGGTTAACTCATTGGACATTTATAATTAGAACGGTAATCAATTAACATAACATATCTTTAATTATCATTATCATAAGTCACTTAACATACATTATATAAATGGATTATTTATTTATTGTAAGTAAATATATGTAGGATAACATTTCCTACAATAAGCGATTAGACAGATTTTATAGTTATCATACATAATAATTGACTATTTAGTAGCACCATTTGATAAAATTATCTGGTAATAAATGAAGCAAGTTTATTTATTATCTTTTCGTATATTTAATATTATTAGTCTAATTTACATTTTGAACTTATATAATTCATCAGAATTGATTTAGTATTGTTACTGCCTTGGACGAATTAAGTTTAACTTGGTAATAAATAAATTTATATAATAATAAATTATAATTATTTATAAAGAAATTATAAAAAATAAAATGCAAATTTATAATCTAGTATATTTAAACCTTTCAATTTTTTTGTTTTTTTTTTAAATTTGAATTTGAAAAGAACAATTTTTATATAACAAAATATATATTGTATTCTGAAAAAAATAAACATCTCTTAAATACAAAACATATAATAAATTAATTATTAGCTTACCTATAACTATATAATGATTTACAGTATGTGATTTACAGTAGTGACAATAAAAACTGACAATTTTTTTTTTTTTAGAAATTGCGACATCAGATCTTTTTTTCTGTTACGCCAATACCAAAAT